GAAAAAAAAAACAACGCAAAAAACCACACATACTGCATAGAACAGAGGAAAAATATATTTTAAAAAATTTTTATCTTCTATTTACCTTTTATCTTTCATTTGTCTTATTTCTAGCAAGATGAATTCTTATCTTTACGTAAAGCTATGGAAGATTAGTAACATGGAGCTTAGATTATTTTCAACAAGTTTCCTTTCTTTCTTTCCTTTTTTTAAAAAAACATTTATTTATTTACTTGTTTATCTATTTACCTGTTGTGATTTTTGGACCACCGGGTCTGGGACTTGTACTGTGGTCAAACATGTGGGAGTCCAGTGCCTCAACTACCACCCCACCTACCAACCCCATTTTTCACGTTTTCAATTTCACACCTAAGGATCCATACTGTTGTGAACAGAAGTATTCCTGCTATACCATAAAATGCCAGTCTTTAAAGATTTCTCTATGTGCATTTGTGGTTTCCTCTGTTTAAAACTTTGTGTCAGTATTTAGCAGTATCTTTTCAAAACGGTAGTATTACAGCATTACATTGGTATGCGATGTAGCACTTTTATATTTTCTTTCTTATCCACCAAGAGAATGAGAATTATCATATACTGAATCATTCCTTTTATAAATATAATGTTAGCAAATAGGAAAACAATATAATATCTAAAGTAAACTATCATGAATAATCAAATGCCTACCAAAGCAACAGGTCTCTAATGAGGATAACTGTCACATGTCCATTCCAACGCTACATATGCATTGTACATCACCAGCCTCATATATAGTTAAAAATAAAACCACGGTTAAAAATGTCCGGTAGCTCCACCTTACTGGATTTTAAAACCAACAAGAGAAACAATCATTTTCCAGTCTACAAGCACAAATGCCAGAACAGAAAGCTACAATATACTCTATTCTGACAACTTGAAATTTCCTTTTCTGAGTCATGACATTTATGTTTCTACTTTTTTAATATAGGACGCCCTTAAAACACCAATGAAAAGATTTAAATATGCTCAGTGTGTAAAGGAACAAGAATAAAATGGAGTTTCTTAGTGAACAGGCAAATTGTATAAACCCGTACACATTCAAAGTGTTACACAATCGAAACTGATGGAAACAACACCAGGCAAAGTGTATCCCAGCTTCCTGTGCGCTGAGGAGCAGCCCTCTATTAAATGCTAACTTCTCTGAAGTATTCAACGCCTTAGGATTACCCAGGCAGCATTCTAAACAGAGAAGTATTACAAACTGTCCTTCCATCTCTCCTAACAGAAATGGAAGAAAAAAATAAGCTTGGAATTACTAAGAACTTCGTTTTTTAAAGCATCTCCTCCTACATACAAAATATCAGCTTTCTACCATATAGTTAGAAATAATAACAGAAAGGAAGGGGCTAGCAATAAACAATACCTACTTCGCACCAGTATGAAGCCCAGGCACTTTAATTTCTTACTCCTTAATAGCTTAATAATAGGAAAACACGAAGTCCTGGCACCTGCTTACTTCATACATTCATGAAATAGGGTGGGCAGTGGCCGTGGGGAGGGGAAGCATTTGGATCGGGGATCAACTACTTAGTTACTAATGGGGAGCTGGCACACAAAGAAAAGGGCTCAGAAGAAATATCTTGAAAGCTCAAAAGTAAGCAATGCTGAGCATTAGGATGGAGATGACACTAATCAAATGTCCTTAATGAGATGTTGCCCTCTTGAAAATATACTTTTCCCCCACAAAAATGAAATTTTAATAACATATTTTAAAGTTTTTGCCATAGTGTGTATGTGCTCACCAGAACGAGACAGTGAGAAGTCACCCCCCAGTGGAGATGGCCATGCCACAATCCCTTCTCCATTCTCTTCTTGGGATTTTGGGCTCGCGTGCACATGCGCCTACCAGGTCCAGGACTCAAACCATGGTCAGCCACGTGGGAGCGCAGCACCTTAACCACTATGCCACCTGCTAGCTCCCTTAATAACTACTCTTAAGAAAAAATATTCTCTCTAAGGGATGTTACAATGTGGAGTGACGTTAACAAGGTAATTAAAAAACCTTTATGTTGTTGCATCAGCTCTTCCTGTAGGACAGCTTGCAGTCATAGCAGCTACTTGGTATGTAATTCCTCTGTTACTCTTATGGTTGATTCTTGAGTTTTACAATGACTTACATTTAAATTCCAAATTTCATCAGAGTGTGCTTACATTCATTTTAGTGCCAGATAACAGTATCAAGTGATGACTAACACTCGCATGGTAGATATAACTAACTGAAGACCAGAAATTGGGGCGATATGATATAAAACATTTGAGAGGCCAAAAGTCATACTTTAAAGATAAAGATGCTTCGCTGTGTTCTAATCTTTCACCACTAAGACAATCATTTTTTTATAAAACGTAAATGGCACATCAGAATTTCATGTATTTACTTAGATTATAAGGAATGGTAGAAGTGTTAACACACAACACTCAAATCCTGCTGCTACTACTGGTCACTGGGAGAGCATCCAAAGTAATCAAGTCGTCTAAGGCACATGTATTTAGAGCAAAAAATACAGAACATTTTACCATTGTGAGGTACTCTATTCTTTTTTTTTTTTTTAATTTTGCTATAGGACATGTATACTTACTAGAGAGAGACAGAAAGTGAGAAATGGACACACTGCAATTCCTTTTCCTCCGTTCTCTCGAGATTTGGGGCATGCACACATACGCGTGGGTCTGGGACCGAAACCATGAAGTCAGCTATGTGGGATCCAGTCATCCTCACCACCACACCATTGACTGGTCTAACACCTCATTCTTTTTCTTTTTTTTCCCCTAAAGAATTATTTATTTTATCTAATTAATTAATTATTATTATTCAATTTGATCAGAGACAGAGAGAGAAAGAGGGAGGGAGAGTGAGAAAGCAAGTCACCATGTCTGGGACGCAAACTACACATGGCCATGTGGGAGCCCAGTGCCTTAACCATCATGCTACCTGCTGGTCTCCCCTATTCTTAATAGATATGAAATAATAGGTGTTTCAAATGAGGGCAGGGTGAGCAAGTACCCAAGAAATTGTATACTCTGACAAAGGATTTGAAAATATACTTAAAAAATAAAGTGAGATGCAAAAGGAATTTCCTAATTTAATAAAATAGTCACAGCTATCTTAGTAGGCTTATTTCAATAACTTACCTCATATTTAAAATGTAGCCATTTATGCACAGAAAGTTTGTGGAGAAATGGAATTAAAGTATGAGTTTATTCTAGTGCAAAAAACTCTTGAAATCCACACATAGTTTTTTCAAAACATGCAGTTTCCATGAACATTTGGAATACTCCTGTACTTACTTAAGAAGTTAACAGTAATCTAAAGTGAAATTAAAAGGCCATTTTTCACGGGTAAGTCAATCTGTGACTATAAGAAAGATAACAGACAAGCATATTGAAATTAACTCACGAGACTAATTTCTTTCAGTACTTCAGTGAATTCTTATTTTATTGAGGTTTGAAAGAATGAATATATTTCAAAATAATTAATTTAACTCATCCAGTCACATGATCTGACAGTAATCGGAAGAAACTGTCTTAATTTCTCTCCTCTATTTTCTAATTCTTGCCTCTCAATTAGACATTTATATTTATAAAATATATGAATTGCGATTTATGACGGTAAGAACATTATATAAAATGTAATCATTAGGAAAGAAGGGAAGAAGTGATTGAGCTCTATCCCCCAAATTAACATCATAACAAGAATTTAATGTATGTATTTGTGTTTTAGCTCTATTTCTGTTTTGTCCCTAACACCAAACAAACCATTTTGCTTAACATCTTCATGGTTCATTTTCGATGTGACCAAGGGATCACCTTCTGAGCTGTACAGTGTAGCTCACAGTACACTAACAGAGATTCTGCAGACAACTTCATTGCTGCAAAGTGAGCATGGGATGTTGCCTTTTTGTGAGGATGAAGATATTTGGCGAGAGGGTAGCACTGAGGGATGCATTCAGGTCTTTTCAAAAGCTCATTCTAGATTATTCAGGCAGGCTCATCAGCTGATGGGTAGTTTTACCTTTCTCTCTTCCCTCATCCTCTGCCTATCTTTCTACCCATTTCCTTCTCTGTCAAGCTCTCCCGAAGAGGCAAGGGGAAAAAACGAAAATGAAACCCCTCAGTTCCCAATATTCACAATAAGTCAATCATATCATCAATCCTTAGGTTACATGATTTAACTTTTTTTTTCTGGATTATTTTCTATTAGTAAAACAGTCCTTTTAGTTTGTACTTTGCAACTAGTATTTTCTACCAGGGTGCAGCATTAAAAATGACTTTGAGATCTAATTTACACATTTCCAAATATATCCAGCGTAAATACAAATGAACATTTTTTTTTTGGTTACTATAAATCTGTGCCTGGCAGAACTATACTTTATGAATTAGTTATAGTTTGGTAGTATTAATAGTTCACACAAAATTTCCCATCGTTACTAGGGATGACAAAGTGAGGAGTACAAAACTTTCATTGACACAATGAAAATTATGTAGCCATTTGGGCCAGTGAAAAGTATAAAAAGGTATTCCCAATAACCACTATGGACAAAAATCTGAACAGGATAATACATTATGTTGAAAATATTTTAATATTTGCCATTTTTTGTTATCTGCGTTATTAATATATACATTGATTTAGTAATAAATATACTCCTATTACATAGAGTGCAATATTTTTTAGTATTCATAACTGACTGAAATTAATGCTGCTATTACCTCAAGAAAGGAATAAATAAATATCATGCCCAAGTTCCAAACTCATGCTCAAGAGGTTATCGTGAGCAAAAACTATTAAATAAACATGTTGGGCATTATCTTTTTTAAGCATCATTTCCGTAAACATAACAAAGATCACTTGCCTCAGCCCTGACATTGCACATAATGGCTTTAAAAGAAAATACAACGTACAAATCCTATCGCTTTTTTTTTTTTTTTTTTTTTTTTTTTTTTTTTTTTTTTTTTTTTTTTTTTTTTTTTTTTTTTTGCATAGGGATTGAATTAACTGAATTTTAAAATGCAGCAAATCTTTCAATGAAATATGTTCATCACATAGCACTTGTTTTCTGTGTGAATTCAGAACTTTGGAGCAATAAAAGTGCTCTGCATAAGATTATAAAATATGCTTTCTGAATTTGAAATTTAACAGAAAAATCTCAAAACAAGTCATAGGTATGATTCTAAAATATTATGTACATAATCTATGCCTACAGGAGGAAATGTCTCTCTGTAGCACAACACAGTGTATGAATATGAAGCACAGTGTTTAGGATAATTTCCCTTTAGGTTTTCCTCACATTAGCCCAAGTGGCTAAGGACATTATATGACATGCCCTATTCTACTTGTTAGGTACACAGCAGAAGCAGGATGTGAGGACAAATTTAAAATAGAGATTGGAAAAAACGGCAAAAATACAGTCCATATGCTTTCGACAGTGCACTTTATAAACTAGTTTGCTTTCTTCATACTCTTTTATAAAATGCAATGTTACTTAGGACAGAGACATGTACCTTAATATTTTGCAATAACTATTAAAAAGAAATGGCCAGGAAAGAGCAGTGCAAAGTGAAAAAAGTACGTAGCTTAGCATGCAGCTCAGGTGGATCCCAAATACCGAATATGGGACCGTAAGTTCTCCTATCTTTTTTTTTGTACTCTTTAGAAAATGATTAATAATAGAAGGTTATCATCATAAGTAACCATAAAAAAACAATAAGTTAAAATTCTCTCTCAAGAAATAAGTATATGCCACACATAAAATTCATTACAGCGTCTTTTCTTGCAATCAGACTTTTTTCTCTCAGAAATCCCTGTTCAAAGGGTACGACCTTCTTAAAAATCCACATTGTCCACAAGGCAAAGCAAACGGCATCGTCACATCGCAGACATCTGAAAAACCTGTGACTTATCCTGTAAGCAGCTGAAATCCCATCAGTCCCTAATTAAATGGACAGAAACCTTTGCTCTTTCCAGAACAGTCCTGTTGGCACCAGGCTAGACCGCTAAAAAGCAGAACGTGTGCTCTATTCACAGTTTAACATTCTCTGTCCCGTGCTTTTGGACAAGGATAACCAAACAGGCTTTCCTGAAAAAAAAAAAAAACAAAACAAAAACAAAAACAAAAAGCCCTCAGAGGCAGATTCCAATGAGACCACCAGGACACATCTTTAAAAGCACAGAACCTTGCCCCGAGCATACGCTGAGGGGAAATAAAGGTGCAATGCATTCTTGATTCTGTTCCTACCCTTCCTTGCTACTCAGTCTGAGAACTGGAAGAGGGTCTCTGGGGTATTGCTGTCGGCTGGGTTGCTGGGCTGCAGCGTCTTGGTAGGTGTGGTTTTACCGTGGGAATGGGAGGACGAAGAGTGGGAGCTCTCACTGGAGCTGCTCCGCGTCTCCGTGCTGGTGCTGGTCTTCTTCATCTTCCTTCTCTTGGCCAAGGGGGCCTTGTCGACATTCTGAAGGCAAAAGCCCTCTCTCTTGTATTTGTTAAAGGCCTATGGGAGAAAAAACGGACTCCCCTGAGTAGGTAAAAGTCCTGCAGCATTCTTAGCAATCTTGACTGATAGAAGTCAACTTTCTGGGGCCCCCCACAGCTCCAAGCTATGAGGAACAAAGCTCCTGAAACCTTTCAAGGCAAACCTCCTGGCAGGATAGAGAAGTTCATGGGAAATAATTTTCTGGGCCCTGTTTAGATCAAACCAGCTAGATGGTCCAGGAGTAGTGATTTTAATCTATTTTTTGAAGAGGTTAGAGCTGCATCCCAACAGGAAACCAATGAGTGACTGGAAACTCCTTAAGAACATGAGGAATCTCAAACACGTTATGTAGTAGGTGGTTGTTGAATGAATAAACTTTCATACCTACTTCAGTTATTTTATGGTTTTTAAGGAAAATAATCTGGTTTATTTAAAAGAAAATAATTCTACTATGTATGTTATTTTCATTACCTACTGATGATTTTATTCTTAAGGGTTTTTGCCTTAGGGCATGTGTGCTCCCTGGAGAGAGAGAGAGAGAGAGACAGACAGAGACAATAAGAAGGAAAATGAGAAATCACCCCCCGGGGGGATGGCCATGCCACAATCCCTTCTTCTCCATTCTCCTCCCAAGATCTTGGGCATGCATGCATACCCACCCCGTGTGAGTTTCAAGTCACCAGGTCTGGGACTTGAACTGTGGTTGGCCATGTAGGATTCCAGAGACCTAATTGCTATGCCATCTGCTGCTCCCCCCAACTGAAGATTTTCAACTGTTCAAATATCAGACCACTGTCCCATCTCACAAACTCATCCTAAATATCAGTAAGTACTCTGGGTCAGAAGTGATTCTGGTCCTCCTCACCTACCTTCTGTTTATAAAGTATACCATGAAGCAACTTATGAAAACATACCCCAAATTAAAAGGACATACGTTATTTTGAGTGTGTAACTTAGTGTGTCTCTGAAGCTAAGAGTCAGGACATGTGTAATAATTTGGATTCCCTTTCTTCTTCTTTTTCTGTTTTTCTTTTTTTCTTTCTTTTTTTTTAAAATTTTTTCCATAGGGCACATATGCTCACCAGAGACAGACAGACAGATGGAAAGTGAGAAATCACCCCCCAGGGACGATGGCCACACTGCAATCCCTTATCCTCCATTCTCCTCTTGGGATTCTAGGCACACATGCACACACCCAAAGTGATTCCCAAGTTGCCAGGTCTGGGATTTGAACCGCAGTCCACTATGTGGGAGTCTAGGGCCCCAACCACTACAACACCTGCTGGCCTCAGGATTCCCTTTCAAATTGCCCACTGTGCATCGAGCCCAGGGCCTTACGTGGAAGGTTGCTTTCACACAAGTGTGCACAGCAGCACCTGACGATCCTAGGATATCCGGAGTCATCAGAGGATTTGAGGACAGCTGACTGCCATCTTGAAGCCACTCGTTGTACCGTAAGCCAGACATTTTAAGTCTTTTATTTGGATCAACTGTGAGAAGTCCTATGAGAATAAATATTTTGATTTTATGATTTGCCACTATAAACATGGTCATAATTAACCTTAGACATAAATCTCAATTACACTATGTTCATATGACATGATGGCTCTGAAAAGGCTTCGACCTCCTTCAAAAATAACTGCATTTTCACATACATTTAACTCCTCTCGAGAATACTAGATGCTAATGATGAAGTCACACTAGCTGTTTCTAGGAGGCTGGGCGCTGCCTGGCTCTTCAATCAAAAGAAAATAACCACCTCAAACAGACTCCCACTGGTGCCTTGGTAGCTCCAAACGCAGACAGAGAGCAAACCCAGACCCACCTCATCCGTAGGCCAACCTGTCTGGGCCACCTCTCCAAGTCGGGGAGAACAGTAAGGCACTAGAGACAGAGGTGGAGGCTCAGAGAAGGGCAATCAGGGACACACAGACCAACACCCAGCTGGTTCCAGCACCATAGCAAAATACGCAAACACAGTGAGCGTGCCAGCAGACTCAGGGGAAAGGCCTAGCCTCGAGATGTGGGTACCCCGGAAGGCTTCCAGGAGCTGAGTCCTGGAGGATGAGGGGATGCTGGTTGGATAAAGAGGGGATGAAGAAAGATGTGGCGGAACCTGACAGCTTGGCACAGCTGAGGAATTCACGGGTCCTGCAATGGCTGGGCTATGGAGCCGAGGAAGCAGAGGCGGGCAGACAGGCATGTCCAGACCATGAAAGGCTTTGTGTTCTGAGTGCCAGGCTAAGGAGTCCAACCTGAGCTAACAGACTCCCCAAAGGCTTCTTAACAGAAAAGAGGCATGGTCACGTGTGGACACTAGGGAGGTCACTGTTCATGGACAACGGACAGCTAACATCAAAGGAGGCGAGACAAGCGGCAAGGATGCTGCTGCAGGACTTCGGGAGAGGGAGGACGGGCACTGGGACGTGACGGGAAGGAGGAGACAGCCGGGAGGGCTCTGGGGAGGTGGGCACACACAGGTGTCTGGGGTCCATGATCTGGTTTCATGGCAGAGCCACTGTCCAGAAAGGGCAGACAGGAGAAGGAACACGTCTGGGGAGAAGGAAAGTACAAGAGTTGAGGTGTGTTTTGGATGTGTCCAACTGAAATGTGAGTGGGGACCAAGTGCTAGTTCACACCAGAAACGCGGGCCAGGTCCCCACGGTGCGGTGTTCTGAGACGGAGGGAACGAGGCGGACAAGAGTGGCCTGGAAACCTCGTGGAGAATACGATGTGTGCAACGGGGGTGAAGCGCAGTCACTGCGTGTCACGGACACTGTCAAATTTTCTTAGACTCTTACCTTGGATCAAATCTTTAGCTTCTTGGGATACATTCTTCCAGGCTTCTCCTTCAAAGGAGAAGTCTCCCTTTTTAATTTTCTTCATGATTTCCACTGCACTGGTACACGTCAAACTTCTGTCATGAGACTGGAACGGAACCTGCCCTGACAACATTGTATACTGTCATGGGAAAAAGTAACAAGACAAAATGACTGTCCAAGTCGCTGTCAAAGCCACCCCAGTCATCACTCACTTCAGCGTACCTTACCAGCCATTACAACTGGCACCGCTGAAGCACCCGCCACATTTTAAAGAGTGTAGATAAAGTAAAATGGCTTCTTACGATATCAAGATATTAAAGCAGTTTCATGACTATGTACAGATTGGTAAGAACAAAAAGGAATAATCCAATTGCTTCAGAACAGATCGCATCATCTTAAAACAGTCAACAGAATCGTCTAATAACTTTTTTTCTAGTCAATTCGACACATCCTTCCCCCAGAACGTGTAACTATGCTTAAGGACTTTATATATTTTGTATGCGGGCCTTATTTTCAACTGCCCCATCTGCATGTCACTCTCAGTGGTCGTTGTGCTAAACATGGCGAGTTACCTACAGCCGCCTGTCTTCACTGCCGCCACACATTTGAAAATTTACCTTTAAGATAGTGTCCCCTTTCAAAAATCAGCCGGAAAACACACAAGTCAAGGCTTGTCTTTGTCACAGCGTCTC